CCTCCGGTCCCTGTGGGGTACACCCCAGCCCTCTCGGACAGGACAGTGACAGATCAGGGGTCTGTGACGGCCCTCGGGTCCCTGTGGGGTACACCCCAGCCCTCTCGGACAGGACAGTGAGGGACCAATGACCCATGACAGGCCTCGGGTCCCTATAGACACAGCTGAGCCCTCCCAGTCAGGCCAGGCAGTGAGGGACCAGCGGCCCGTGACAGGCCTCGGGTCCCGTGGGCACAGCCACCCGGGGATGGGGCCAGATGGAGTAGCACTTTGTTCCACGGTGGGGTCACCGTGAGCTAGGGCCGCGTGAGCAGTGGTGAGAAATGGCGTCTACAGCAGCTCCGTGCAGCTCCCTCCGGGGAGGGCCCCCCGACCACATCCCACGGCCTCTGCCCGACTCACCCGTGTAGGACACCTCGACATCAGCCAGGGCCTTGAGAGTGTTCTCGTAGGACACATCCTCGCGTGCCTGGGCGCCCACCTTGTCATACACGTGCTTGGTCTTCTCCATGAGCTCCTGGGTGAGGGCCTGGATCTGCTGGGCACTTAGGTCCCAGCGCAGGTAGTTCACCACAGAGCATGGGGACACCGCGTCCAGGACGTCACCGGCACAGTCTGCAGAGGACGGGGTGGGGGATCACTGTGGAGTCTGTGCAAGGCCAGACATTGGGCAAAGGGGGGAGAGCAGCTCGGCAGGGCTTTGTGGGGGCACAGACAGGGCCCTCCTCTAGAGCTGGTTCTCAGCTGGGGTGACTGTGCCCCCAGGGGACACTGAACAACATTTGGAGACTCTGAGGCTGTCACCATGACAGAAGGAAACCTTACTGTTAGGTGGAGGCCAGGGATGCTGCTCCACACGGTGCACCGAACAGCCCCACCCCAGAGAAGGGTGCAGCCGTGAACAAATGTCCCACAGACACCAAACACAGATCCCAGGCGGCGGCATCCTGCCAAGACCCCAGGGGTCTGCAGAACTACTGTGGCCTGTGTTAGGTCCAGACGGGGGGCCAAGGGGGAGAATGAAGCTGATAAGAAGAGCAAACAGCCTTGCCTGCCTGGCTGGGCTAACAGGCGAACCATAAATCACAATGGAATGTCCCTCCAAACCCTCCCCAGTAAGTTCATAGGGTGACTTCCCCATTCTGCATGCCCAGAATGAGGAACCTCACCCGGGAACTCCCTATGCCCCCCTTTAATAAAGCTGAGTTAAGCTTTCTCTCGTTCTCTCCGATTCCTTCCTTAAGCCGGCGAACTTAACAGCCTGGAAAGAGGAGGCGGCATGGGAGCCTCGCCTGGAGCGGCCTCTCCTCCCGGCTTGGTCCTGCTCCCACACCCAGTACAAGAACAGGTCGCCCAACAAGTAACTCAGGATTGGCTGGTCATCCTGAGTTTTTCCTGCCTTGAGAGTAATAAGAGGCTTATCACCCACCTTGCCCCACCCCTGGGCTTCCCAGGAAGGTGGTGAAAGGCTGACTGGCTGGGTGGAAGGTCAAGGCTGGTGTGGCCTCATCCAGAGAGGGCTGCCAACAAAACCACCTGCAGAACCAGACCTGCAGGGGTGGGGTGCGGGGGTGTGTGCACCACCCCTGTTCTCTGAGGGGCCAGTAGACATTCTCAGGTCACCCACAGTCCCTGTCCTGTCAACAGAGTGAGGGGCTCGGCTGCCCGATCTTGACGTGGGCAATGCTGGAGGGCTGAACCAAGCTCTGGGTCAGAGACACCAGCTCTCTGGCGCCCGGCAGTGCCACCTCAGAGGGCCCTCCGCTTGGTCTCCATGTGTAAGTGGCCCGGGAGACTGCCCGTCCTCCTCTCCAGGAGCTGCTGCTGGACTTGAACTTGGACTGCAGGAGACTCACAGCCTTTGGGTAAACAGTGCAGTTTGCAGTGGATGATACTGCTAGGTCCCTTACAGTAGGGCAGAGCCCCTCAAGCCCAGAAGTGCATCCACCCCTCAGGTCACCTTTCAGCCACACAATAGAGAGACCTATTAAGTGTGAACAATAACACCCACCAGGAACATGCAAACCAGAATAATCAGTCACATGAGTCCAGAAAGGCAGCATCTGCCCCAAACCGAAGTTCAGAAGGGGCAAGAGGCAGATGAATGGAAATGCAGAACCCAGAGAGAAAGCTGGCAATGTGCTGCTACATTGTTGCTGTTCAGTGTCATTAAGTAGAAGGCAACTCATAGCAAGTCTGCAAACAACAGATTAAAGAAACCCACCCACAACCTTGTCCTAGCCGGCCATCCTCCTCACCACTGATAACCCGAGTCATTCTCGCAGCCACTGCCAACCTCGCACTGACCCTCCACCTTTCTCCACATGATGACCTTTGCAAGGACTGGCCCCTCCTCACAGCATGCCCAAAGGAGGGGAGAAGTTTCACCATTCCACTTTTTCCAAGACATATTTGTTCTTTTGACAGTCCACGTGATTTTCAGTAGTCTACTCCAACACCACAGCGCAAAGGCACTGGCTCTTTGATCTTCCTTCTTGTAGCTGAATGAGAAATTAACGTGTTCTGTAAACTTCCACGGAAACCACAATAAAGTGTTCAGAAGAGAGTCACCCTACAGGGAGGATCTACTGGGTGCCGAAGGGTAATATGAGTCAGAGTCGAGTGAATGGCAAGGAGTTTGGGCTGTTCTGGCTCTGGGGCACCGGACCTTTCTTCCAGAGTTCCTCTGGTGGACACAAAGGCCCACCTTCCTAGCCAGCAGCCAAGTGCAGGAGCTCTTTGCACTCCCAGGGCCCTGAAAGCACTTTTCTTGACAACCAGGGGTCACATCACTTAGGAGTAGAGCCAACTCCATGGTGACTGACTTTTCAAATGACAGCCATTGTCATTTCAGGCCATCATCTTCCATCCAAAACTCTCTGGAGCCCAGGATGCCGCAGTACTCAGGATTTCTTCTGATTTTAGAAAGGTACCTACCGTGGCTTGCATGAGGACCGGAAGTAGACTCATCAACAAGCTGCGTTTTGTAGATGACACAACCCTGCTTGCTCAAACTGAGGAGGACCTGAAGCGCTTGGTGCACAAGGTCAAGGACTGCAGCCTTCAATATGGATTGAAGCTCAACATCAAAAAAAAAAAACAAAAATTCTCACCACTGGGCCAATTGGCAGCATCATGATAGATGGTGAAGAGATTGAGATTGCCAACAGCTTCAGTTTGCTTGGCTCTATAATCAACACTCTTGGTACCAGCGGCCAGGAAATTAAAAGAAAAATTGCACTGGGAAAGTCTGCTGTCAGAGACCTCTCCAGAGTGCTGAAGAGCAACGATGTCAGTCTGGGACTAAAGTGTGCCTAGTACAGGCCATGGTCTTTGCCATCATTTGCTACACATCAGAAAGCTGGACAATGACTAGAGATGACAGAAGGCAAACTGATGTCTTTGAGCTATAGTGCTGGAGAAGAGTACTGAATATACCATGGACTGGTAAGAGAACAACCAAGTTCATCCTGAAGTGGGTGAAGCCAGGCTGCCCCCTGGAGGCAAGGATTCTGAAGCTCTGTCTAACATACTCTGGACTTGTAAGGTGGGATCAGTCCTTGAAGAGGGATGTCATGCGTGGGAGGGTGGGGGGACAGCGCAGGAGAGGAAGACCCTCGGATGGATTGATTCAGTCACTGGGGTCATGGGAGTAGGTGTGTGAGAGAAAACAAGACTGGCACAGGATAGAACAGCTGTTGTACCTAGGGTTGCTAGGAAACACAGGTGACTCGATGACACATAACAACAACCGTGGCTTGTGATTGTGTGTTGGAGAAGAACGCTAACTGTATCATGGACCACCAGAACATGTCCTTCCTGGAGGAAGCGTGACTGGAATGCTCCCAGGGAGAGAACAGCGAGGTTTTATCTGTGAGGTATTATTATCAGGAGGGGCTAGTCTCTAGAAAAGGAGAGGAATACTCGATCCCTTTCCTGTTCGTAAGCATGGTAACTGGGCGCTCATACTTCGGTATGACGTGTGCCAACCTTTAAACCTCGTTACGACATAGGAACACTACCCATCCGATGTGGAGGGGAAAAAAGAGAGGACTACTCTTAATGAGATAGACTGACACAGTAACTGCAACAGTGCACTGCTGGCAAGACTGTGAGGGGGCACGGGCTCAGACGGGGCTTCACTCTGCTGTACACACAACACCACACACTATCTGACTCCCCGTGGAGCCTGGTGCAGCTCTGAAATCAAAGTCTCTCTCATCGCACATGGGAATGCACGCTCTAAGGTGTCTCCACCCAGACTCTGCTGACTTGGGGTCGGATCCCTCTCTGGGGTGGCCTGTCCCCAGGGCTGCAGAGTGCTGAGCCATGTCTCACAGGCTCTATCCACTACATACCAGCTGTACCTATTGGTCTTGACAACCAGGAATGCCCTCAGATGTTACCCAGAGTCCTCTGGGTCACAGAGGAGAGAGGGGACGGAGTCATCTCAGCTGAGAACCTGAGCTGATAAACACTAAATGGGAAAAGAGTGTCTCAAAGTCAATGCCTGGGGCCCTGGTGACATAGCAGTTAAGCATTCAACTGCTAATCGAAAGGTCAATGGTTTGAATCTGCCAGCCTGCTTCTGTGAAGCTTGCAGCCTAAGAACAAATCCTTGCAGACTGTTGCTGTGACACCAGGTACAGTCGGAATCAACTGGTTAGCACAAAACCATCAACACAGGTGAGGTTTTCTGGCCACATGCCTGCCGCCAACAGAGGGAATACGCTTCTGTGCGCAGAGCCTCTCGGGTCTTAGAACTCAGACAAGGAACTGTGGCTCTATGTTAGAGATTGTAGTAAAAACAGCTTCAGACAAGGAAAGACCAGAGGGCCACGTGAGCTGCGACTGGCACAGGAAACCTCCCAGAGGAGCTGGGACTCGAGGAAGCACACACACCCTTTCTGTAAATATTCACAGCCTAGTATCTCAGACATCTCTGATAAATGAACAAATAGAAGTGTGGCCAGAGCGCTCCCTGGAGGCAAGCACGGCAAGGCTTCGTCTCACGGCAGCATGTTGCTAGGAAGGCCTGTTCCTTGGAGAGCGACATCATGCTTGGAAAGGTGGATGGTCATCGAAAGAGAGGAAGACCCTCAACCAGATGGACTGGCACAGGGACTTCAGCAACGGGCCCAAGGATGTCAGAGATGATTCAGATGGCACAGAATAGGTCAGGGTTCAGCTCTGTGGTTCACAGAGTGGCTATGGGTCATAGCTGACATGACAGCACCTAACCACACCATCTAGGACAGGTCTCTCGGCTTAAGACCCAGGAGCAAATATGGTCGACAACATTGCCGCCTTCCTGAATAACCCGGTTATCATCACCATCACGAGCTGTCAGAGAAGAGAGAAGAGAGGAGAGGGAGAGGGACAAGGCTGTAGGAAACCAAGAAAAGGTCAAGACTACAGGATGGGGTGGGGGCCGCTGTAGTCAGGGTCACTGAGTCAGAATCAACGAGATCACACCAACATCACTCAAGCAGGCAGGGGCCGCTGGGTACAGCAAACAGCTGGACTCTCCCACACGGAGACACTGCTAATTCAAACCCACTCAGAGGTGCCTCGGAAGAAAGGCCTGGCAACCTGCATCCAAAAGGGCACAAGAAGGCACCACACAAGGACCAGGCAGCCTCCCCACCGTGGCCCCTGTGCCTTCAGAATGAAAGGTGTCTACGGCTCACTGCACAGCATCGCTACCATGCCCGCCACGTGCTAGGTAATGTTTTACGGGAACGCTAATCCACCGAGATCAACCCTGGACTAACTGATGCCAAGGACCACCGTGCCCAACCCCTCCCACTCATACATCAGACTTCAGCGCACGCCTGGCAAGCGAGTTGGCTCTTAATCCCGGGACTGCCCATGGGTACTGGCCAAACTGGCTTCTCTAAACAGGTCACCCGTGTCCCCGCCGCCCGGCCCTCCCCCAGATCTTGGCAGGGCAGCGCCTTGTCGCCGTTCAGTTCTAGGCTGCGACGCCCTCCTCCGGGAAGCCCTCCAGGACGACCACCTGCCCACCACCGGCCCTCCCCACTGGTTGGCTCCCGCTATGTCCAGTCCTTGCCAGCTGCGGGAAGCTGGTTACTGTGTGCTTCCGGCCCGGAGCTCCGCCAGGACCCGGGCTGGGTGGTCCATCACGGGGGATCCGGGGTCCACCCCGGCGTGGCCCCCACTTGGCCCCGGGTGTGCGGAATGAATGAAGCGCTGGAAAAGCTGGCTCATTCACTGGGCAAACGAGAAGACGGGGGTCGCGAGCTCATGCGCAGCCCGAGCCCAGGGTCACTCTAGGGTGGACTCCGGACTCCGGGCACATCGCGACCCTGGGAGGCCCCGAGTGTCCAGGGGGCCAGTGGGGATGGGGAGCGCGAGCTGCCCCCGTCCAGTGAAGCCGATACCTGCGGGGGGCTTCATAGCGAGCGGGCGTGCGCGGGCGACTCCCTAGCTCCACTCGGTCGGCGCTGAGCTGCCTCGGACAGTCCAGATGTCCACGCAGCGTGCTCGCTGGCCGCCGCCTGCCCCAGACTGAGGCGCCCGCCGCCCGCCGTGCGCAGAGCATGCTGGGAGGGCGCGCGTGCGCGCGGCCGGCGAGGCGGGGGCGCAGGCCCAAGCTCCGCCCGCTCGTCTCGGCGCCGCGATCGACGCGTGTTTACGTCTCGACGCTCGCAGCTTGTAATTGGCTCTCAGAGGAGGGCGTGGGAGGGGCGGGTCCTGGCTCCTCCCCCAAAGGCTCCAGGCAGTGTCCATGGAAACCGCACGCAGTGCTGCTAAAGGTGAGCTCTTTCATCGTTACTTACTCTGGTAGGCTCCTAACTACAAGTAAGTAGTTTTCTCTGCTTTTTAACAAAAAATAACTTTTTTTAGTTTTTAGTTTTGTTATTGGGACTACACACAGTAGAACAACCAGTTCCACAACTTCGCGTACAAGTCAGTGACACTGATGCCAATCGTTAAGTTGTAAAGCCATTTACATTCTCGTTTTTGCTGTTTTCGTCTTTATTAGTATCATCTCGTGTCATCAGATCTTTCTTCCTACTCTTAAGTTTCTGTTGTCAATTTCATCCCATAAAACTCATTCTCAGGGAGCTCTGATGGCCTAGTGGCAAGAAGTTGCGCTGCAATCCCGAAGGCTTGTGGTTCGAATCCACCTGATGCTCCACTGTAGAAGGAGGCATAATTTCCTCCTGTGCCCGTCGGATCCGATTCGACGGTACACAACAACAACCAAAAAACCCCTTCATTCTCATTTCAAGAACAGATTTGATGCCTTAAACACTAATGACCAAAGACGTGCAGTTGTGGGTTGATATAAAGAACATCATCTATGAAGAATACAAAAGATCATTAAAAGGACAGGAAATAGAGAAAAGGACAAAATGCATGTCAGAAGAGACTCTTATAAGAATTGATCTTGAAGGGAGCTCTAGTGGCCTAGTAGCAAGAAGCTGCACTCCAATCCCAGAGGCACGCGGTTCGAATCCACCAGATGCTCTGCAGGAGAAGGAGGGACAATCTCCTTCTGTACCGGTCATATCGATTTGATGGTACACACACAAAAAATAAAATTTTTTTAAAAGAATTGCTATTAAACATCAAGAAGCCAAAGTGAAATTTATTTCAAAGCGCAGCTCCAAAAGACAAACTATTATAGTGAAATGTGCCAAGACCTGGAATTAGAAAACGGAAGGGAAAGAACACGTAGCATGCGATGAAGGACCAAGGGTACCTAAGGAAGAAGCCCAAGCTTCACTGAAGGTGTTGGTGAAAAACAAGGCTCCAGGAATTGATGGAATATCAAATGAGGTGTTTCAGGAAACACCATGCTCACTATACTATGGCAAGAACTTTGGAAAACAGCTACCCTGACAACTGACTGGAAGAGATACATATCTGTGTCCATTAAAAAAAATGTGACCCATTAGCATTAGGAAATTCTAGAACAATAGAATTACTATCACATACAAGTAATGTTTTCCTGAATATTATTTTTAAAATTGTCTAGTTGTTGTTGTTGATTGCCTTTGAGTCAAGCAAGACTCAGAGTGACCCTATGAACAAAAGGCCTGAAGCCTCTCTACAACTATCGACATTAATCAAAGTTCATAAAGTTTCCGGAGGCATGTTGTTTAGGAAGTGGATACCAGTTGTAGAAAGAGCAAAGGCCTCAAGGGAATGGCTATATCTCACACTTATTAACTTCACAAAGGGGAACTTTCTCCATCAGCAGTATAAACACCACAAAACTAATTCTCATTAGTTCAGATGTGCCCCCACACACTCCCATACCTCTTCCCAGCATCAGTCTTACTGTTTAGTTTTTGTTAGGTGCCATTGTGTCGCCTGTGACTCATAGTGACCCTAGGTACAAACAGCTCTAAAGCCTACCTTGTCTTGAGCCAGTCTCACTGGCTTCAACACCCTCCACCCCATTGCCCCAGTTATTGCATCAATACATCTCAACCAGTATTCCTCCCCTGCACTCCCTCCACCCTTCCAAGCATGATATCCTTTTTCAAAGACCAGTCTGTCCTGGCCATGTGCCCAAAGAAAAAAAAATATTTCTAGGCATTTTCTTACTGCTTTACTGGATCCAAAATCCAATTTGATAACTGACAGACCACACAGAACCATGTTGATAGAATACAATCAGGACAGCTTCAAAAATGTGCTCACAGGCACCTCAGCCTTTGAGCCTCATGGCTTTAGGCCAATGTTACAAAATTCTTAGTCCTGCCAATTATGACGCTTCACCCCCAGTTATCCAATACACTTGGGAAAAGCTCCAATTCCAATGGTTTGGGAGTCCCAAGGTCCCTTCTCGTGTCTGGCCTCTGGTTCTCTGACGTGGTTCCTATGTCTGCTGCTCCAGTAGGTCCTCCTAGTCGGGTGCAAGAATCTCTGGCTCCAAAGGACATATTACATTCTCTGGCTTGCTCTTTTCCTGGTAGGGAAGATCCTCCAATTCTGATGCTGGATCTACTCAATTTAATGGCGAGACTAGGCAATCCCTTTGTAGATAGGCTAACGCCCTATTCATCTGTTCCCACCCATCCACATGGCAAAGTTAATGGCTAGGAAAGTCGTTATGAACAATAAACTCCACAGCAGTACATCAACATGGAGCTGCCAGAAATTCAAGCTACATTCAGAGGAGGCTGTGATGTGTCCTTAGAAATACGAGTTGATCCGGCATTTTCATGTCTACATATATCCTCAGTGTACTCACTCACGCACTTTGCCAGTACTACAGTTCCAATACTAGGTGTGTTCTTGGGTATAATCCAGCAATGCCACTACTAGGCCTATTCCTAGATATACTCACACACTTGGGGGATGTTGCTAGAAGAGGCTATTCCTTGGAAAGGGACATCATGCTTGGAAAAGTGGAGGGTGTGGGAAGGAGGGAAGACCTTCAGTGAGATGAATTGACACAGTGACTATAGCAATGGGCTCACGTGTGTCAGGGATAATGAAGATGGCACAGGATAAGACAGGGTTCGGAGGGTAGCTATGACTTGTACTCAACTAGATGTTGTTGTTGTTGTTGTTGTT